AAAAGAAGTTATGAAACTATAAAATTAGGGGACAATAATAAAAAATGACTCATGCTTGAATGGAGAGAAGTAACAACTCTCTTTATCAATTTATAAATGAGATAATCATAAATTAGCGAAACTAAGTAGTTAAAGTTAACTAAGATTTCATAATCACATCATTCTCAAATTTGCTGCATGTTTCTAGAATGCTCTAAATGAAATATTTCTTTGAAAAAAAAGTTAAGAATATTATGAGAGTATCTTTTAAATATTCTAAAAATAAATAAAAATATATTTTTAACATATTTAACAAAGTTTACAAATGAGATTTTGATTTATATTATATTATTTTGAAACCCCTGCTTCTTCATTCTTTATCTTGTCATTCTTTCTTGAAAAATCTCCATCTCATTTTTTTTCTTCTTCTAATGTTGGATTCTTTTTTCTTCTCACCATCATTTTCCTAGAAGAACATTTGACTTCAAATTTTTATTCAACTTACCTATAAAGGAAAATCTATTAACATTTACATTTTTTTTTCTCGAAAGTCAATTAAATTGTCACATTCAATCTTAGTTAAGTTAGTTAACATGTCATGTTTATACATGGAATGTTTACTCGAATATCAAGTTTCTAAGTTTAAGAGCGACTTTCTAATTATTTTTTCCAAAACTTGATTTTGAAATTTATACATCCTCTCAAGCTTTAACTTGTTCTCTATAATAGATTTTGACCACTTAGACAATTTTCTTCATGCTATTAAAGTATAATGAAAGTTGTAGAAGAATATAGAAAATCTATGAAAAAACCTAAGATAGGAGGTAAAATCTAGACATTCTACATAAGTTACTGTAGTTATGATTTTTTAAAATAATCATGTGGGTGAAATTGGATCTATAAATACCTATGTATTGTATCATTTGATGTAAGAAAACATCTAAGACATAACACATCCCAACTACAAAATGTTCTTTTTCTAACTACAACTTTCACGTTCTACTATTTTCATATTTTCTCTATCTAATCAACTATTCCTTTTACAACTTCAAAAAATTAATAGTGGGAGCTACGTTCGATCATCTACTAGGCGTAAATAAAAGTTTCAATTACTTAAAAAACTTATAACTCCATTCTACACTACTTCCAAAATATTTTCTCAACCTATGACCACTGTCAATCAAACATCATCAATTCCAGTACCTATTTTCGTAGGAGAAAATTATGATTTTTGGAGTGTAAAAATAAAGACACTCTTTTGCTCCCAAGATTTATGAAACATGATAGAAGAGGTATTCACTATTCCAGAAAGACATCTCCACCCTTATTATAACTCAAAACTAGGAGTTGAAGGAAAACAAACAAAAAGATTCAAGGGCTTTGTTCAGTTGATGAAACAATCTTTTCAAGAATAATAGATGTAACAAGTGAAAAGTAAGCTTGAAACACAATACAAGAGGAGCTTCAATGAAGTGGTGATGTACGAAATGTTAAACTTCATTCTCTTATATGAGAGTTTGAATTAATAAGAATGAAAGAATCTAAGACCATTAAAGACTACCATTCTAGAATAAAAGAAATAGTTAGTCAGATTATAACCTATGTGTAACATATTCTTGACAAATATTGTCGAGAAAAAAATAATTTATGTTCCCCAAAAATATATATGATACAATCGCAACTGTGATTGAACAAACAAAAGATTTGGCTACAATGACAGTAACAAAACTAATGGATTCTCTTGAAGCTTATGAATAAAGATTGAACACGAGCGAAGAAGACTTGGTCAAAAATGATTTTCAATTGAAACTAAAATTACGGTATCAAAATGACGAATGTGAAGGAAATAAAACTAGAGGGAAAATTTCTAGAAATAAGAAAAAATTTAGAAGCTTCTCTATGACCCGTCAAGGAAAATATCCTCCATGTAGCATTTGTAAAATGACAAGTCACTTGGAAAAAGATTATAGGCATCATGAAAAACTTCAATATGTAAATACTGCAAGAAATTTGGCCATGAAAAGAAGTATTGTTGTAATAAAAATAAGCATCAAACAAACTTTTCCAAAGAACATAACACGGAGTAACACTTATTCATGCTAATGAAGAATCTCCAAGTGGAGAAGGAAGTCGGTACTTGCATAGTGGATGTAGCAATCACATGGCCAAAGATCAAAGCATCTTAAAAGACATTGATAAATCTATCAATTTCAATTTCGGTAGGGAAACGACACCACAATGGAGCCTTTTTGGCAAAGGAACTGTCATGGTGGAGACAAAGAAAGGTAAGAAATTTATTAAGGATGTTTTACTAGTTCCTGATATTAAAGAGAATTTCTTAAGTATTGGCCAAATGATAGAGAACGAATATTCTCTTCAATTTGAGAAAGATACATGCAAAATTTATGACAATGGAATGTTAGAAATTGGCCAAGTAAAAATGGAGAAGAGAAATAAAAGCTTTCCTATAAGCTTCAAACCTAAAACTAATATTTCCATGAAGGTATAAGTTGATGACTCATGGATTTGACATAGGAGATTTGGCCACTTCAACACACAAGCCTTAAAGCTTCTCTATTAGAAAAACATGATAAGAGATCTTCCATGCTTGAAGGAGAATAATGAATCTTGCGAAGGATGTCTTCTCCGCAAACAACACCGATTACCATTCTCAACAAACAAAGCATGGAGAGAAAAAGACTTACTAGAGTTGATATATAAAAATGTCTGTGGACCAATGAGGATGCTTACTTCACAACAATAGGTATTTCATCCTCTTCATTAATGACTTCTCTAGAATGACATGAGTATATTTCTTAAAGGTAAAGTAAGAAATCTTTGGAGTACACATCTCGTGAGTTTGACAAATTCTACAAAGATGAAGACATAGAGTGACAACTTATAGTCACATATACTCCACACAAAAATGGTATTAAAGAGAAAGAATCTCAAAGTCATGGAGATGGCGAGATCGATGCTGAAGGAGAAAGGACTACCAAATACTTTTTGGGTTAAAGTAGTCTACGTTGTAGTCTACCTACTCAACATATGTCCTATTAAAGCAATTTAAGACAAGATTCCAATTGAAGCTTGGAGCAGGAAGAAACCATAAACTAAATATCTAAGAGTAGTTGGATATGTTTGTTGTATTCACGTTCCAAACCAAATGAGATACAAACTAGAAGACAAGATCGTACAAGGTATCTTCCTGGGAAATAGTAGACAATGAAAAAGGCTACAAAGTCTACAATCTTCAAAAAAAGAAGCTAACTACCAACAAAGACATTAAAGTAGATGAAAAAACTACCTGGAATTAGGAAGAAGAGCAAATTGAGAGGAAGACATTATGCATGCCCATCAATCAACCCACTATAAGCCAAGAAGATAATAATATACATGCTCAAGAATCTTTTTCAACTCCAACATTAATTCAAAATCCAGAAGAATTATCACTTGAATCTACTCCAAGACGAGTAAGATCTTTGACAAACATATATGAATATGGCAACTTGTCCATACTAGAGCTTGCAAGCTGTAACGAGCTTGTGAAACAAGAAGAATGGGTCAAGCTAACAGAGAGAGAAGATCAAATTGCATATATTTTCACAAAGGCATTACCAAGACCAATGTTTGAACTACTACTCACTGTGCTTGGAGTTACTGAGACATTAAAGTGTAATGCAGATTCTAAAAGAATATAAAAAATCCTAACATAGAAGTATTGAAATATGCAAATTTTAGAACAATGAAGAAACACCTAAGATAGAAGGTAAAATCCATTTTACATAAATGGTTGAAGCTAGGATTTTCTAGAATAATCATGTGGATGAAATGAGTTCTATAAATACCATGTATATTACCATTTGAGGTAAGACAACACATTCCAACTATAAAATACATCTTCCAACTACTATTTCCACATTTTACTACTTCTATTTTTGTATCCCATCCACTATTCCTTTCTTAGCTTCAAAATACTAACAAATGCATACCCTGAAAACTCTTTTATATAAATAGAGAACGGGAAATATATTGAGATACTTTGATTCTCTTTTTTTTATCTATTGAATCTTCACTCTAATTTGGATATTATAAATATCTAAGGGCAAATAAAAAATAATGGTCAAAAGCATAGAAAATATTACTTATATAAATAATTTTAATAGAAGAATTATTTTCCCAATATAAAACTATAGCAGACATTTAAATTTTACAATTTTTCTTTTAAGTCTCTAACCTTTTTCTCTATTGTTTTTATTTTTTTTCCTCTTTGAATTTCTTCTTGCCTTTTTAAATATATTTTCAAGTTCTGGCTTTCAATTTAAGTGTTGATAAGTAGTGTGTGGATAAAGATTTTTTAATAAAAACAAATTTAAATATTTCGATATAATTTTTCTTCATTCTTTTCCTCACGATTTTAGTAAACACTCTAAAATAATTGTTACATCAATTTTAGTATATTTGCAGTTGAAAAATAATTTTTAATTAAAAGACAAAAGTCATAGAAATTTCACTTGTTCAAGTAGTCTAGTATTCAAATCATGGTAATACTCAGTATGTAAAAGTAAATCATGCTGAAATACTTACATTGTGCAGATAACATAATACATTTATTTATTTAGAGAGTGAAATTATTTTGATAAATAACATAGTTGTTGTTATTAATATACTGGAAAAAAACACCTTAAATATACTAGTTTTCTGAGATAGAAGAAGTCTTTTGACTTTTCTTTTGTTAGGCATCATAAAGTGGGCTAACTTATATATGGTTTAGCTTGATGATGTAAGTGTGGTAGACAGTATCCATTATAGCAGTGTATTTTCTCTTTCATTTACCTACAATCACGGAACATTCAACATCTAAAGACAACTTTTTTATTCACAAGATTTTTTCCTTAGGACATCCACAATTAATATATATATATATATATATATATATATATATATATATATATATATATATATATATATATATATATATATATATATATATATATATATATATATTTGTGTGACCAAATTCCTTTCAAACTTCACACTTCTTGTGATGTGTAAATCCAAATACTTCATTTGACGTATCTATCATTTATCATATATTGAGTAAACCAAATCCACATACTTTCCATGGAAGAAAAACAATTGATTGTGAGATCAATATATTCCTTTGTTTTTATGTTTTTGCTTGGCTTCAAACTACTTGTTACAGAGGCTCAACCACCAAACTATGTGGGAGATGACTGCAGTTCCACCACCCCAAAATCTCTCAGCAGTGAATACAAAGACAACCTTAAAAGTGTTCTGACATGGTTATCCTCAGATGCAGCCACAAGCAAAGGCTATAACCATAACAGCTTTGGCAACAGCACCTCTGGTGCAGATGCTGCTGTGTATGGCCTCTATGATTGCCGTGGTGATGTTTCTGGATACTTTTGTCAGTTCTGTGTTTCCACTGCTGCCAGAGAAGTTCTTCAGCGCTGCCCGAACAGGGTATCTGTTATTACATGGTATGATTTCTGCATCTTAAGGTACTCAAATGAAAACTTCTTTGGTAATGTTACAGTAGACCCATCATGGAATCATACTGGATCAAAAAATGTCTCTAGTTCGGAAGAGATTCAAAAGGGTGAGGGTTTTATGAAAAGTTTGATCAGAAAAGCTACTGTGGAGACCAACCAGTTGTACTATATGGATGGCTTCAATTTGAGTTCCACTGAGAGAAGGTATGGCTTGGTTCAATGCAGTAGAGATCTCACAAGTGAAGGGTGCAGAGAGTGTTTGGAGACCATGCTAGCAAAAGTTCCCAAATGCTGTGAGCATAAGTTGGGGTGGCAAGTTTCCACTGCAAGTTGTCTCATAAAGTATGACGACTATATTTTCTACCTTCCTCCCAATCAAGCATCTTCTGTTTCTGTGCCTGATACTCAAATAGGTGACGCTAAATTCAATAGCTTTTTCTTCTATAATATACTACTACTAATAATATATTACTCTCTTCTAACCTATGAATAATGTATGATTTCCTCATATTATTACATGAGTCAGTTTGCTATTTTGTATATATATAAGTCTGGTTATCAAATCTTGAAAATCTGTCTTAAAAACTAGTGTGCTTGTTTTATATTGTCGTTACAGCCAAACAAAGGGGTGGTAGTAAGGCAAAACTATTGATGATTGGCTTAAGCGTGCTGGGCGCAGTAGCTTTGCTATGTTTCAGTGTTTATTGCTTCTGGTTCAGAAAAAGAACTAGAACTGGAAGAAGAACTGGTAATTTCCTCTAACAAAACATGCTATATTTTGTTTGATGTTATCTTAATTTTCACATATACTCAAATATGAAATCAAAAACTTGTCTTCACCGTAGGTGGAGGTATCCCTGAGACCATTCGTCTATCTTCGTATCACAATGTTCAAACTGAGGAAACACTGAATCCAGACATCTCTACAATCCCATTAATCACAATTCTACAAAGTACTGATAACTTTTCAGAAGCATCTAAGCTAGGGGAAGGTGGATTTGGCCCCGTTTACAAGGTAGACTAGGAATTTATGGCACAGATTTTTACTTCTATCATTTTCAATTGTTCTTTAACCTTATATTTATCCGATCTTTTATCAGGGAGTTCTACCAGATGGAAGACATATTGCAGTCAAAAGACTCTCAGAATCTTCTGGTCAAGGGTCAGAAGAATTCAAGAATGAAGTAATGTTCATAGCTAAATTGCAACATCGCAACCTTGTAAGACTTTTGGCATGCTGTTTGGAGGAAAAAGAGAAGATACTTGTATATGAGTATATGACAAACGCAAGTCTCGACTTTCACCTCTTTGGTATGTTATTATCTTAGGTTTAGAAAACCATATCCCGTTTGGTTCAAAAATAAACCACGTAACATAAAGAAAAACTTTCAGATAACCACAAACAGTAAAAAAATGAGTAAAACTGGTCAAATATTTGTTAAAAAATTGCTTCTTGTGTAGCGTCATTGAATAACAGTGTTTATGTGGCATCCGTTGCTTCAATTGTTTCTTCAATATTTTGATTCATAATTAGTCTTGTCTATGGAAACAAGTCAAACGGTGCAGCTATCTGTGGGACTAAAAGTAGTTAGGACGTATAAAGAACATTTATTGTACATAAGTAGTAGGTAGCACCAATTATTATAGTTAATACTCAACAAAAATTGCATATCTTTTAGCTGTTCATGATGTGTATATATTTTTTCAGATGAGAGAAAGAAAAGACAGTTGGATTGGCAACTAAGATTAAGCATCATTAATGGCATAGCAAAAGGACTTTTATACCTTCACGAGGATTCTAGACTCAAAGTTATTCACAGAGATCTCAAAGCTAGTAATGTTTTATTAGATGATGAAATGAATCCTAAAATATCAGACTTTGGATTGGCAAGATCATTTGAGAAAGGCCAGAACCAAGCAAATACAAGACGAGTAATGGGCACATAGTAAGTTCTATTTTTACCAAACGTATCTGTAAATTTAAACATATACTTCAATATAAAATTTAGCAAAGTTTTACAGATATACTTCAATAGTTTGTTACATATACTTCAATATAAAATTAAACAATTTTTTTTTTATTTCCTTTAGTGGATACATGGCTCCAGAATACGCTATGGAAGGATTGTTTTCAGTGAAATCTGATGTTTTCAGCTATGGAGTTCTTGTTCTGGAAATCATTTGTGGGAAAAAGAACAGTGGATTCTATCTATCAGAATGTGGTCAAAGTCTTACATTATATGTGAGTATTCAGTGTTACCCGATCAAGGCTTTAGAATAAAATATAAACTCAATCTTTCCTCTCATCTTTTTCTAAATTTTCTTTCATCTCGTGCAAATCAAGAAACTAATTATTAGCATGTTAACTAAAGCTTATGAAATTTAAAAAAATTGCAATTATTTGCAGGCTTGGAAAGTTTGGTGTGAAGGAAAATGCTTGGAACTAATGGATCCAGTGTTGGAGGAAAGTTTTGTAGAGAGTGAATTTGTGAAGTGCATGCACATTGGTCTGTTGTGTGTTCAAGAAGATGCAGCCGATAGACCAACAATGTCCACTGTAGTTGTAATGCTAGCTAGTGACATGATGTCTCTTCCAAAACCTAACCAACCAGCATTTTCAGTAGGAAGAATGACATTAGATGATGCATCTACTTCAAAAAGTTCCAAGAATCTTTCCATTAATGATGTAACTGTCTCTAACATTTTTCCAAGATAATGGAAACTTTCATACACAAACCTCTTTCCATCGATGCTTTCAAAAGCAATAAGAAATTGAAGACAAATAATTTGCAGATGAAAACAAAAAGCATCACCTCCTTTTTGTAATATATATATATATATATATATATATATATATATATATTGTTAAACCCATATATATCTCAGGTGTTCTATGAGGCAAATCAGACAGTTCTCCATTTTGATGTATTCTGGTATCACATTTGCTACAAGAAAAATTTAATGTTAGAAGTATAAAGGTGGGAATGTTTACATATATGTTTGGTTAATGTGTTAAAAAATAACGAAGTTTTTAGTTTCAGGTCTTTTACCAAATTGTTTATTATGTGAAAGAAAATAAGAATCTAACTTAGTAAATTAAGAAAAAGTTTTAATACAATAAAATTTTGATCATACTTTTATTAACTTATTTAACATGATAAATAATTAAGTATTTTAATAAAAGCCTCTTACTATTTTTTGTTTTTTTAAAAACGTATGTTATTAAAAAAATATTTTTAACAACTCAAATTGAAGTCATTTTTAGGATTTATTATTAATAAGCATGATTTCGGAAAAAAAAAGTATATTGATCTAGATTGATAATTTCAACTATATTCCTGATTTGATTAGAGTAATAAAATATTGGATCTTATTCAAATTGTAATTCCATCAATGATAATTGAACCTCTTCGAGATTATGTATAGATTCATTGTTGTTGGTTGACTAGACAAATTATGATGTGATATTATTTATATTCATGGAAAGATTGAGCGAGGCAAATTATGATGTGTTATTATTTATATCCATCAAAGATAATTCCATCATATTTGATTATTTATTCTTTATATTCATGGAAAGATTGAGGGAGGCAAATTATGATGTGTTATTATTATTCATCTATAAATTTTAGTTAGTATGTTTATTTTAAGTTAATTCACATTTGTATGTTTGTGATTAAGGTTTTCACCTGTGATATGATCATATGACTTGTATTACACATGAGCAGATAATGTTGTAGATTATAGTTTGGATGCACAACCGGGACATATCTCTAGCATGCTAGAGTTGAATACCTTATCTTCTAAAGACTTTGATGCTAGAGTAGCATGGCCTAGGACCAGGGTAATTTTGTTGGAAGAGGTGAAGCAACAATTGCAGATGATGGAGATGATGATGATGATAACAAAGATGACGAGGATGAGAGTAAGCATAGTATATTATGAGCAGCAGTAAAGACTCTTTCGTAGGACTCTTTTGGTGGATAGCCTTGAGTTTTAAATTCACGTTTTTATTTTCTTTTAGTCTTTAAATTCTAGTTTTATTTTCTAGTTTCTAGTTGTGAAATTTTTAACTTGTCTAGTCGGATATTTCTAATGCATATAGTAACTTGATTGGATTATAATTGTTCATGATTTGAATAAAAATCTTTTGTGCCTACCCTTGATCAAAATGTGAACTACTTTGAAGATATGCTTGAGATGGTGGTTATTTGTGCGAGCATAAGTTATGTTTGCTTTCATTTGTCCAAACATAAGCCTTGTTTCAATTGTGATCAATGATCATGGAAATTTATTTGACAAATCATTGTTGAGACAAAATCATCTAGAGAAACTAGATTGTCTAACAAAATGTTCTGAAATTTATCAAATAATACTAAAATAAATATTGCTTACAAAAAGTAACATCTAATAATGATTGAATATGGTAAAAGATAATATTGAATGAAGTAAATGTTTGTCAATATAATCCTCTATCCGAAACACTAAAGAGGTTAAAATAGATAGTGTCTGAAATGCAAGACATACACCTAATCACATGATAAAGCGTTTAAACGTTAAACTTGCTCATACATAAACGATGTAACATTACGTAGACAACTTTATGAAACAAGGGTAGAACATGTCATCTACATCGAGTTTCCATTAAACGACGCTTTAGTAAAATGATGTTGACATGTGCAAGAGTGCCTTGAACATGCAATGTGCTTAATGATCATCAACGTTTAAAACAATTAATTTTGTATGGAAAAGTGTTTCCTTGCTTACACACCTTGTTCTCTTTTTTCAGTGCAAGAAATGACAATACCAAACTTTATTCAGAAGCTTTTCACAAAGATCAAAAAGACTTTGAGAGATAAAAAGACATTCCTGGAATGTTTCCTCAAAGCTTCTAACTTAAAAAGATCGTACAAGCTATTGGTGTGAGAGAGCACTATCATTCTACAACATAGACTTAAGTCTGACTATGTTGCCTAAAAAGGCTATGAAGCCTATATGGAAGTCAACTCTATGTCCAAGGATCATCTCTCGTGGAAGTCTATAAAAGATGTTTCACAAAAGTTGAAGAAAAGAGATAGAAGATTGTGCAAGCTAGAACAAGAAAGATGGGCAAGTAGAAAAGGAGAAAGTAAAATAGAGCTATCATTGCATACTTACCTTGCTTCTTTATCTTTAAGATCATAATGTCAAAAGCTTCCATTCAGAGAAATGAACAAAAGAGATATCATTGAATATCTACTCTAAAGGGTTATCTTCGACCTCATAGTGTCCAACGCTCATATCCAAAAAGTGAGAAGAGAGAAAACAAGAAAGCAATTGTAGAATAAGCACTCTGCTATGAGCTCACATTGTCTAAAGCTTTCAATCAAAAAGAGAGAGAACGATTACAAGAATTCATAAATACTTTGTATTACTTAAATATCCTCCTAAGAGAGTTATTTCTAACTTGTAAGAAAATACATGTAAACTAGGAGTGGTTAGAATACTTGCATACCAGGAGTGGTTAGAATATTTGGAACCAAGAATGCTTTATGATTGTTAAAATAGAATGACTCAATTTCTCACACCAAGAAGGGGGGGGGGGGGTGAATTGGTGAAGTATAAAATTTAAAACTTTCAAAATCTTTTTCACCAAAAGAGATGCCTTTATACTTTTCTTGAAACGTAAGTTAAAATATTTTCAATGCAGTGGAAATTTAATCGAATGCGTGTAAAGTATAATCGATTGAATGTAACAGAGTAGGGATAAGAAAGTTCAAACGCTGAGTTTTTATACTGGTTCGGCCAAGACTACATCCAGTGTCCTTCCAACCATAAGAAGCCAATGCACTATAATGATAAAGGTTTTTACTACAAGGTTTTTATAGAGACCTCACGTCAAAAATATAAAACACCTCTCTAACCCTCTAATCAAAATATAGGCAGTACACAAACAGACTAGCAACAAGAATCCCCTCTCCTATAGTCCAACCCCTTTGAGGCACCCTCAAAGTCAAGAATGCAACACATCCTTCTTCCTGTAATCACAACAGGGAACTCAACCAAATCTTCAACAAATTATAGAACCTGATCTTGTAGTAGACACCCAAATGTGCAGATAGATCAGACTATGAAAACTCAGTCATTCTTTCTCTTCAAGAAATCACAATTAGTTGATCACCACGGTCAAACTACTTTCTTGGAGTTTTTTCTCTTTCTGTAAGCTTTACACTTTTTTGCAAAAGAATATGAAAATGTTAGAATCACAAAAGTCTCTATAGAAATCAAATTCGCTCAATATATAGATGAACTCATATCAGACTCAACATAATTGACTTTGCTACTAATGTAGTCGAATACACCAATTCAGTTATAACAGATAGTAGCAGTCAAAGCAATTAATTGAATTCACAATTAATGCAGTCGGATAACATTTAATGTTTGATCAACACATTTAAAAATATAGTCGTTGTAACAGTTATATCAAGGATTAACAGATTCCAAAATAGTAACAAACTTAATCGAACACATATCGCATGTAATCGATTATGGAACAGTGTTATGTAAAGTTTTGAAAACTTTTCTCTTTGAAAAACTCTCACAGCACACTTGAAAAGGTTTGTGCAAATACACGAGTTTTAATTGATTCACCCCATAATGTAATTGATTTCAAACTGTTGTTTTGCCACACAATTAAAGTTCAACATTAGTGCTTGTGGTTTTTCCATCTAAAAACATGTGTCATGCATTCATGTATAAAATCACATATATAACACAGTGAAATGCAATGAACAACACAACAACAACACAATCATGTTCTCATATACACATATAACATGTAAGCATAGAACATGTAACACATAAAACACATGTGTTATTAATTATGCATTCTCATCATCAAAAACACATAAAACACATTTGGATTCCCAATAATCTTCCCCTCAAGGGTGAGTCCCTTCCACGTAGGTACACAGGACTTACTTAGCTGAATACCTTACTAGGAAGACTTTCGGTATAAGGACTATTATACTCGTCTGAGCCAGTCACCAACACAAACCATCGACTCTGATACCATTGTTGGATCTATCGAGGAGGAGGTTCACTAGGGAAACATAATACCAAATGAGATATGAGTCCAACCATATAAAGGATTGACACTACTCTCTATCCAAAACCTTAAGGTAATGGATTAATGAGTCTTTCATCTTTATATAGTGTTCTACTTTCTCATTTCTATTCAATGTGAGACTTAGACTCACACTTGCATTCCAAACACAAGTTACATGTGAACTTGAAGGTTTTGTTTATAAGTTAGAAGAAATGGGTTAAGAAAGGATGAAACAGTAGGCTAAGGACGATAACGATAGAAATCTTGGTGCAAGGGTGGATGATCATGATTATGCTGCAGGAGACAAGATTTTTTGTCGTGATGATACGTTGGTTCAACATATGGATGACAACACCCAGGTTTAAAATGTGGTTGATAGAGACCAAAACAATATGTATGTGCGTATGGAGGTTGGACCACGAAAACACTTCAAGAGTCATGCCATTAGAACTCCATTTGCTGGTTATTGGAGGAAAAGGGACCCTAATAGTTACATATTGTTAGCATTGTTGTAAGCTTTAGTAGAAGTACATCTTGCTGTGAACATTGATGTTGTTAACCTTGACAATATAACTATTACTATTAATTTTAATTTGTTGTGTATTAAACTCTTTTTACAAAATAGTCACCCAATTCCGATTTCTATTATGATATGGTA